TTCAGCCGCTTGACCTCTAGGGCCCTCAGCGTCCTCACGCATCCGGTCAAGGCTGTGTGACGCAAGCAGTGAGACCCCACGGCCAAGGCCTGGAGGAGGAGGGGAGGGAAGGGCACGACGCCGGCTGGGATGGGGGCAGTGGGGTCCAGAGCCTCCCCTGGCCTGGCATATGGCTGCTCCAGCGCGTCCTGTCCTCCGCCTGCCTCCAGCCTGCATCAGCGGGAAAGCCCTGTCTCTGTCGGACCTAGGGCTCTCCAGCCCTCACACTGTATGGCCACAGCCTCTGTCCCTCCATGGAGTTTGGGGACCCTTGCTCCCTTGGGGCCTTCTCTCACTGCCCTCTTCGCCATCTCAGTCCCTGAGCTGTCTTCCCCACTCTGTGGTTCTCCCCCGCGCGGTCTGTGGCCTGGGGGAGGGGAGGGGGCAGCTGGGAGTCTGTGACACTGAGTTGGCTCTTTTGGATCTGGCTCCAGCTAGACCTGATCGGGAGGGGGGTTGGCCTGGGCCTGCCATTGGGTCAGTGAGCGCTTGTGTGCACCCGTGTTCAAGTCTGGGAAATGTGCTAGTATGTGAATATGCACAGGCATGCTCATGCCTCAGGGCCTTTGCACTGGCTCCCTATGGCCCGGAATGCTCTTCTCAGATGTCCACGTGGCTCACCACCTTCCTAGCTCTTTTCAGCGAGGCTGTCCCTGACTGTCCTATTTAAAATTGCAGTGCATCCCTGCCTTCCTACCATCCCAACCCCCTCCCTCCGCTTTATTTTCTCCATAGCATTTGTCACCTTCTAAATGCTATGGGTTTTTACCCATCCAGTCATCTGACTCTGCCTCCAGAATGTCAGCTCCTTGTGGGCAGGAGGTTTTGTTTTGTTCATTATCATACCAGAGCCAAGCACTGTGCCTGACACATGATATATGCTCATTGATCGTTTGAATGGATGAATGAATGAGCACATGTGGAGCCTGCCGGCGTGTGCACGTGTGTGTCAGTATGAGAAGGGTAAGCCCCCGTGTGTGTGTGTGTGTGTGTGTGTGTGTGTGTGTGTCTGTACGTGATCATGTGTGCGCCAGTGGGCCCTTGGGCACACACCTGTGTGTGGGACGTGCTGGTGTGTGAATACAGATGGACGTGGGTCACTGGCCTTCCCCCCAAGCTGCAGGGTCTCCACTCTGCTTCTGTGGGGAGGGCCCTCCCCAGCCTGCCTGCCCTGGTCCCTGTGGGAGAGGGATGGAGCCATCGGGTGGGAGCTAACTTGGTTGGCCCTGTAGACTCAGGACTGGGGGTCCCCAGAGCAAACTGAAGATCCCTGGGGACCAGTGTGGGTTCCCATACATAGAACAGGTTGCAGCTTCTGGGCTCAGTTCTGTTGGACCTGGCTTGGGAGCATCTTGGGACTGTGAGCCTTGTGTCGACCTGAGGACAGGGTGGTAGCCCGTGGCCCGTGGGGACCAAGGGAGAACATAGCTATAGCCCAAGGGTAGCTAAAGATTCCAGGTCCCCTGGAGGAGATGAGGTTCTTGTGCATTTTTTGGCAAGAAATTGAGAGGGAGTAAAGGCAACGGTGGCTCAGATCGAAGGACCTGATGGCAGTGGCTTAAGAGCCATATCCTTATCATTCAGCCCCAAGCTAACCGGGGACTTGATGCAAAATGCAAAGGGTGGCTTGCAAAATCAAGCATCTGACCTGAAGACGTTGTGTGTGAGAAGGCTCTGGTCATAAGTTGAAGCCTGAAGCGGGGACGGCTAGCAGTGATTGTATTAATCACTGATCATATTAATAAAGATAGAAAATTCAAACCAAAGGAGGTGAGAGCCTACTGTGCCCGGTCCCAGAGTGAACTAGTTTGGAGCATGTTGAGTAACTTAGTCAATATTGGGATATAAAGTGACAGTACTGGGGGCCCTCTGTGATTGAGGAGGGGCTGCTGGGGCAGACAGGCGGTCACAGAAGGCTAACCCGCCGGGGTGGAGGTGGGGGGCTAGAGCCAAAGTCTGCAGGCTGGACTTGGCTCTGTATGCACCGGAATATCAGCGGACGGGTCATGGTTCAGAGGGACTCAGGAGGAAGTTGGAGGCCCCCCCAGAGGCTCTCTGGAGCAGATACGCAGTTAGGAGGGGAGGCATGGGGGGAGAGGGGTACAGCCTGGGCAGGAGAGGAGAGGGGACCCCTGAGAGAGATGGAAACAACAATGAATGATATTTGAGGAATGGCCTCCGGGAGGGAAGAGCTTTCCTACCGTCTCGTCAAAGACTCATGACTATTCCGTGATGCGGGGGTCCCTGCTTCACTTGAGAGAGAAGGGAGCTGAGACTCAGGGAGGTCAGCTCACTTGCCAAGGGTCCAAGACAATAAAGGGGGATGCACATTAGCAGCTGGGCCTCCTTGACCTTAGGAGTCCCTTGGGGCATCATGGGGGTGCTAGGGTGAGCAGTGCCCTGACCCCTTGCCATCCTGGCTGCCAGGCATCCGCCTGGAGCCAGGGTGCCCTCAGATTCAGAGGCCTGGGATCGCTCCTCAGGAGCATGGGGGGGACAGGCTTGGGCCTTGGCCCCCGTCAGCCCCAGGTTCTGATCAGCTAGGCCTGGCCAGCATCCTTAGGCCCTGGCCTCCCCTGCCCACAGCCACGTGGCCGACGGGATTTCCGCCATGTTTGGGACATGAATTGACAAGTGCCCCATTGACGGCTGGGGGGGAGGTGTGGGCAGGGCACAAGCCTCCCACTGTGCCGGGTCCCCACCCTCCCCCGTTCCCTGGGACAATGGCCGAGACTCAGCCAGCGGCCACAGCTGGTGGGGGGGTGGTCATGAGCGGGAGGAGGGGGGAAAGGGAGGGGTCCAGGGTGGGAGACCACCTGGGCTCCCCACACCCTCATCCTGCACCTGGCCTGTATCCCCTCAGTTCTTCTGCCCAGCTGTGTGGCCTGAAAGCGAGGAGGAGAGAAGAGGGGAGGGTCTTTTCCCCATAGTCCCTATTCCCAGCCTCCTGGGACAGGGCAGTGTCTGGCTCCTGTTAAAAGCAGGTAATAAAGGGCCTAATTAATGAGGAGCAGCTGGGGCGCATAGCTCAGCAGGGCAGGGGCGGTACCTGGAGGCACCCCCCCCCCCCC